CAAATGGGAGTGTGTGGACCATGGGATAGTTAGTTTTCTCTGGAACAGTGTAGTATCCTTGGAATATAACATACAGCTTTCCTGTTCTCTTGTACCACTTGTTAATTCTATTTATAAAATTGTAGCATTTTGATGTAAGATGTTGGAATGCAAAAATGAAATACTTTAACATTTGAGACCTTAATATTTTGGTAACTGGGATTATTTTAAAGTGAATATTTGAGCCACTGTTGTGTTCTGTGTAAACAAAGTAAATCAAAAGTGTGGAATGTCAGTGTCCAGAGGAATCACAAGGCTGGCTTTACCTGGAGATGCTGGTAGTTGACTTATAGTGAGCAATGACTGGGCTGATTTGGCGTTTGCTGTCCCTAACATCTCTCTGCTAATGATATTTAGAAGACATGTATGTGTACATGTAAAAGAAACCTCTTTAGATAGATACTGGGGATGGGTTATTTCAAACTGAATTGCACATGGAAACTTGTTTAACTTGTGAATGTCTGAAAGATATTTCTGAGTGAAAAATTCTGTTTTATAGTTTCTCCAGAGCCAAAAACAGAAATGAAGACCTTGAGATGGGCAATTTCACAATTTGCATCAGTGGAGAGAATTGTAGGGGAAGATAAATATTTTTGTGAAAATTGCCATCATTATACAGAAGCAGAGCGAAGTCTCTTATTTGATAAAATGCCAGAAGTTATCACTATTCATCTGAAGTGCTTTGCTGCTAGTGGCTTGGAGTGAGTATTGTGAATAAACTGAGGGAAACAGGAGCTTTGTTATAGTACTGTGAAGTGAAAGAATCAACTTAGGCGGATTGTTTGGCATAAATACATAAATGTGTTTTGTTTTTTGGGGGGGTATCTGGTGACACAGCTCTGATAGTGAGGTTCAGGATTTGATCTCTAGTACCAAAAGGAAAACAAACAAACCCCACCCAAAACAACAACAAAACCAACAGTATAATTCTCAAATACAGCCTTTTATATTCATTATGTAGGTGCTAGTAGTAGAATTGTGCTTCAGTGGAACTGACTGAAATGGAGAATCTTTAGTATTACTTTTTAAAATCCTACATCCTTCCCTTGTCTGAGACAGGGTTTTACTGTTACAGTCATGGCTGGTCTCAACATGTTGCTGTCCTCTTGCCTCAGATGTTGATGTTGTTAGAGGTGTGAGCCACCAGACTTATTCAACTCATACTTTTTTTTTAATGGGAGGATAGCAATGCAAAATTCTTTTCAGTTTTAAGTAAAGTTAGGAAATCCAACTCATCTCTGAGAACTTTGGAAAATTTTACAGTTGAGAATTTATCCAAAAGCTATTAAAAATAGATGTAAAACTGGATGTTTTGGATAAACTGTCTTTTCTGACATGTTATTGTAGACTTTGTAGTTTTCCTCATTTATTTCCTCTTTTATTTAGTCATTTTAATATGTATATATTTATTACTTGAACCAAAAATATGTTGGTTTCAAAAGTTTGGTCTTTTAAAAATGCTTATTTCCTTGTGTTACAAATATAATAAAAGAATGAAGAAAATATACTTTCCACAGAAACACCAGAGTATCAGTTATTTAAGCTTTTATTGTTTTTAAAGAAGGTAGCATTGGCTGGCTGGAATTTGCTGTATAGACCAGGTTGGCTCAAGAGATCTACCTGCCTCTGCTTCCCAAGTGCCAGGATTGAAGGTGTGCACTATTATACATAGGTTACATAGGTTCTATTTTTGAGGTCTTTGCTCATAACTAAACGTTAAGGACTTCTTATTTGGTTTTATATTGTGTGTAAAATTTTACATTTAAAACAGAATTATAGGAAACTTTTTTTTTTTCCTTCCCAAAGGTTTGATTGTTATGGTGGTGGACTTTCCAAGATCAACACTCCTTTATTGACGCCTCTTAAACTGTCACTAGAAGAATGGAGCACAAAGCCAACTAATGACAGCTATGGATTATTTGCTGTTGGGATGCACAGTGGCATTACCATTAGTAGTGGGCACTATACTGCTTCTGTTAAAGTCACTGACCTTAACAGTCTAGAACTAGATAAAGGGAATTTTGTGTTTGACCAGTTGTGTGAAATAGGTAAGCCAGAGCCACTGAATGAGGAGGAAGCAAGGGGGATGGCTGAAAATTACGATGATGAAGTGTCAATTAGAGTTGGTGGAAATGCCCAGCCAAGTAAAGTTTTGAACAAAAAAAATGTAGAAGCTGTTGGACTTCTTGGAGGACAAAAGAGCAAAGCAGATTATGAGCTGTTCAACAAAGCGTCCAATCCTGATAAGGTTGCCGGGACAGCATTTGTTGAAAATAGAAATTCTGAAACTAATGATACTAATGGGACCCATGAATCTGACAGGAACAAGGAGTCCAGTGACCAAGCAGGCATTAACATGAATGGATTTGAGAACAAAATTTCTTATGTAGTACAAAGCTTAAAGGAGTACGAGGGGAAGTGGTTGCTCTTTGATGATTCTGAAGTAAAAGTTACAGAAGAGAAGGACTTTTTGAATTCTCTTTCCCCTTCCACGTCTCCTACATCTACTCCCTACTTGCTATTTTATAAGAAATTATAGTAAGTATATTTTCCTTGTGTATATATTAAACAGACCTGGATAAACATTGGTAAAGTTCATTACACCTAAGAGTCTTTAGTTTATCTTTGAAGCTGTTGGATATTATTGGTCTCTCTAGGCTTTTATATAGTGAGATTTTAAATACTGAAAACCATGTTAATTTTTAGAATCATTTTCCTTAGTAGAGACTAGTGGTGCATAAGCTTCTGGGAACAAACTTGTATAGGTACTAAATGATCCAAAATGGAAGCTTGGAAGCAGTAAACATTTTTGGATTTACACGATCTTTTGTGTTTGCTTTTTAAAATAAAGTGCTTGTATTTGTATTCTCCATATTTTGGAGTAATTATCTACTTGATGTTTATAAGTCTGGCTTTTTCACCTGAGAAACAGAATCTCATTCAGTATATTTAGTTTTATAATAGTCATGGAACCAAATCTTTGGGCTGTATCAGAGGCACAAAGTCCAGAATGTGTATATTCACAATGGTGTATATTTTGTGCCTTGAATAACTTTGTAAAGTGTCTCAGAAAACCTGGCAGTCCCTTCTATCTTCATAAGAATTTTTTGTGTATTTATGAAGATGACTGTACTCTAGTCGATCTTTTGGGCATGACTAATTTGTATCTCTTCATACTCATTCTGCACGATCTGTATATAGTACATCAACTTAGAGGTATGACCTTTTAACTTTTTTTAAAAACTGGGAGGTCAATAAAATTTAAACTGTTTAACAACCATGTATACAAATGTGTGATTTTTTTTTAATGCATATTTTTTTTATCAGAGTGGAGTTCTCTTAAAGGCATGTACATACAAGACAGACTAATCATGCATAATTACCTTAATTTCTGGCAGTAGAGAGCAGAGGTGAAAACATTTTCAGAGGATAAACTACTTTAGTCTATCCAAGTTGTCTTAGTTTTAAGACACTGACACATAGAAGCTTGGCTAAGTTTTAAGTCATTCTAAGTCACTACAAGGGACACTCTTGGCGTTAATCTCTTCTTAGAAATGAGTAAATATATAAATGCTATTGGAATAACATTTCATTTTGATAGGAAAGATTGTTTCTTCCATTAACATTCTCCCACAGATGGTGTGATAGAAATTAAGTCATGAGTCTCCTTGCCTTCCCTTTAATTTAGAATCACTGGGAAGTCTTGAAAATAACTATTCCATGCTATCAATTAAAGCTGTAGAGATTCCTGAGTCAAGAAAGGTGGTGATTTTAGAAAACATTGTCAGGAAATATAACAAAATGAAGTAAGAAGTCTCCCCTCTGATTCATGAGGAAATAACTGGTATTTCATAACTAAATCATAATTACTTAAATCTTAAAAGTTCTTCACACTACCATTGAGATGTGAGAAGTGACAGGTATTTATGTCTTCTCCCTAATAGTAACCTTTTCCATCCCACAGTCCACCAGAGAGGAAAGGATGTCATTTCAAGTGACTCACCAGTGCTCACCAGTTAACGGGTATTATCAGTGTTGCTGTTTCCTAAGCCACAGGGGCACAAAAAAAACGTTTGAAACATTAGAAAACATGAATATTCACTAGGGTAATTGTGCCAACTGTGTAAATGTAAAGTGTTAATTTTCCGTGTACCTTTTTTATATTGAAATTATAGTTACTTGGATGACAACAAATTTATACATTTTGTAAAACCATGTGATATCTCACTTAATTGCTAGATTAAAACCAAAGCCCTAGCTCTGTGTTAACCCTTCAGTGATATGCAATAGCCTTAACACAGCTTTCTAGTTAATGGTTCAGTCAATAAGCATTTGGTAGATTAGCTTGAGGTACAGAGATCAGTTTAAAATGATCCATAAAGATCAAGATGCTGTCATAACCATGTCACTAGATATTTTGGTATATAACCTTTTACAGAAGTGGGGTTTTTTTTTCATTTTTTTTGCTTTGCTTTTCAAGATAGGGTTTCTCTGTAACAGTCCTGGCTTCCTGGAACTCACTCTGGAGACCAGGCTGGCCTTGAGCTCACAGAGATCCGCCTGCCTCTGCCTCTGGAGTGCTGGGATTAAAGGCATGCACCACCACCTCCTGATTTTATGGATATGTTTTTTTGGCAAATCTTGGTCTTTTTTGGGGGTGGGGGTCATATCTGCCATGATTAACTATTTTGGGTCAGTGTGACGCTAGTTTAGAACCAGTTTTTGAACAATTCATTATTTTTTCCTATTGTAATAGAGAAAAAAAACTAAAATCCCACTCATTAAAATTAGTGTAAACATTCACATATTTAATAGTACCTTTAAAATAAGCATTACTACATTTAAAATGGTTCCAAAAATGAATGAATCTATAAATGGTAATATAAATTAAAAAATAAGAACTTAAAGTAAATAAATTTAACATTAGCTATGGTATAAATAATTGTAAATGTGTACTGTACCTTTGAATCATTAAAACTTTTTTTTTTTTTAAAAGATGACAGCATGTTACCAGAAGGTTAGAAACCACAGCCACGAGCCTCACATGTAACAGCCTGCATCTGGTAGCACAGTCTTCAGTGAGGAAATAATGCTATTGCTTCCAGAGTGACATCCAAGTCCTATGTTTCAATAGAAGACCTCACAGTCAATGCTGAATACATTAGAACAAGTGTCTATTTTAGAGTTCCATTTTTCGAAGGCTCATTCGGCTGAAGGAATCTCTGGGGAAAAATAAGAGGACATAGTTAAGTACAATTTTTAGAAGGTACTACAGTTTTTGTTTTTTGTTCTTTTTTTTTGTAAACCCTTACTTTTTTTTCCCCTTGCCAGAGACATTTCAATATAGATGCTTATCTTATATTCTCTATCCTGGTTTACAGATTTCTCTACAGATTAGAGAAATAGAAGCCACTTGGCCAAATCTATTGATTATTTGTCCAAAGGTTATTTTGATAACTACTTAAGATGCCATGGAGAGAGTTCTGAAGTATTTGGGTGAAAGGCAAGTGCTTCTTTAATCATAAACTTGAAATCAAACAGGTGGTTCTCAAACTATAATATCCTTTATGTGAATTTATATGCTACTATTTATAATGTTTAAAAATAAAATGGAAAAATTATTTTACAAAGTAACTGATTATATTTTATTTAAAAAAAAAAAAAACTTGGAAGGGCCAGGCATGGTGGCTCACACCTTTAATCCTAGCACTCAGGAGACAGAGACAGGTGGATCTCTCAGTTTGAGTCCAGTCAGGGCCAAAGCAAAATACAAAAACATTTTAAGATAGTAGCACTCATATGTAATATCTAGCTTAAGAGAAGGCCTAAATTCTCCTACCTGTTTTCTATAGCCAGTCATTTACAACAGCATATCTCACCCAGTGTCTGGAAAAGTCCATTCTACTAATATGAGAGCATAAAGATGGTCAAAGTCAAGGTCCCAGATCACATTTTGACAACCAAAACAACATCCAGGTTTTCAGCAAAATCTAAATTCTAAAGACTTGAGGATTTTTATTCATGCAATGTTTATAGATTTTCCTTCCTCATGAATTGGTTTCTTTTGCTCATTTTTCCTGATGATAGTTAAGTAGGCACCGTGGGAGTTTAGGAAAGGTGGAAGAAGCAGTTAACAAAGAAAATGACATTAAGCTTTGCAGTTCAAAGAATGCTTTTTTAGTTCCAGTGAAAAGTTTTAAAAGCTGGATACTATTCATCAAGAAAAGGAGTTGTTAATCTGGAGAGATGGCTTAGTGGTTAAGAGTGCTTTCTGCTCTTGTAGAGGGACCCAGGTTAGGTTCCCAGTATCCACAGGTGGCTCACAACCTTTGCACCAACCCAGGGTAGTCTCCTAGCACCACATGATCTGGTCTGGTATCCTTGTAATTGAAGCACTTTGGAGGTGGAGGCAGGAGGATCAGTTGAAAGTCATTCTCACCTACATACTGAATTCAAGGGCAGTGTGAGTTACAGGATACCCTGTTTCAAAAAATACATTTTGGTTTTTAAAAAAGAAAAGGGTTTCCTAGATCTGGGCTTGGCAATGTATGCCTGGGAGGCAGATGCTGGGAAATGGTCAAAGGTTAACCTGATTTAAGTAGCAATACTCCAAAACACGGCCACCTTCCAAACAAAACCACCAAAGCAACAACATTCCTCAGAGAACCAAAGATTGATGCCAATAATACTGTTTGGCCAATGAGACAGCAAGTTAGATGGGACTGGAAGTCAGGGAGGATTCTGGGAAATGTAGTAGAGAAGTGATGATCCAGGCAGGAAATGACATAGCAAGGAGACTCATATTTAAGCGAAGGAGAAACAGGAAGGGCTTTCTTTTCCCCTCTGTTCCTGCTCCAGCGGCAAGATGTGATCCACCGACAAGGAGGGACGCCAATAAGGTGTCCGATAAGATAAGTCTTATAGAATATATAGATTTATGATATTTAAGACTGAGCTAACAGATGAGAATCCTAGTCATTGGCCAAGCAGCTTTGAACCTAATACAAGTTTCTGTGTATTCACTTGGGCCTAACTTGGGTGGGCAGCTGGCATAAAGCGCACTCGTGGCAGTGGGGCTCAGGCTGCTTTTGGCAGAAAGATTTATCGTAACAATGTTAAGTTCAGAAAACTAGACTAGGGGGATGACAGGAAGCTGAAACTATGTTGTATTTCCGGAACATATCTTCAGCTGTAACAGGAAGGACTGGAGAGTGAGGAAGAAAGGAGGCAGAATATGCCAACTGCTTGACTGCTGGATAACTTGCACCTTCACATCCCCTGGGGCTTCCGACCTGCTGGGGTTGATGGAGACAGCGTAGATAGCTAGAGATCTCAGAAAATCTGCAGGGAAAACTGAAAATGGAGGTGCTTATCTTACCACTGGGAACTCTGAGAAACCTTCCCCATAGGTGTAGGATAAGAAGCACATACTTTGCCACAAATGAAAAAAAATGTTATTTGTACTTCCTCGGGTGCTGTAGCTTGGGGGAGACACAGATGCTCCCTAGAGGGTGTGATATAAAGCAGACCCTTGGCTGATTTCTTTTTTCCTTTTTTTAAGACAGCATTTGTCTAAGTGGCCCAGATTCTCCTTGAACTCACAACCCTGCTTCAGTTTCTCTAACACTGGGATGACAGCAGTATATAGTGGGTATTTTCTGAATGAGTATGTTTCATCCAGTGGCTTCTCAAAGGTTATCAAACAACTTAACTGGTTTATTAGTATCCTGTTTCAAAGAAAAGGGTGATAAAATAGTGCCACAATAGTCCAGCAGGTAGACAGAAATTCAATATAAAATGAAAAAAAGGGCAGTTTATTTTTAGCACTTTTTTGCCCAGTTTCCAGAGCTCAGGTGCTATAGAATGAATGCCAGGCACTGGCCATGGGCTCTTCATCTGCAATGGCATCTTCACCACAGCCCCCTCAGGGTACCTGTACTAAACATGAGGCAAGTACTGCCCACATGAAACCAGGGTTCAGTTTTAGAAAATGCAAAGTCTTCTTTCTGACTTGTCAACCAGGAAACTACTGACACTCTTGGACAGTCGGATCACCTGCTTTAATCTGTGGCAAGGTTATGTCGACTATTGATGGCTCTGGCTGAGGAAAATTAAGACTGCTCATGAAGCATTCTAGTGAATTCTCTCACAAAAGTGCCAGAAGCTGGGATGGGACTTTGAGTGGCTTTATGAAGGCAGACTTAGGAGTACTGTTCCGGTTAGCATTTCTTCCACAGAAAAGGCTGACTTTCAGATTGATAAGGGGACAAGTGGCAATAGCTTATACATAGTTGAACTTGTTAGGTTTCTGGGGACACAACATTTGAAATTTTATAATAAGAAGCTGTAAACTTATCTATCAGGTTTTCTTTTCCTAAAAGAAAAGCTCCGAGGAGGAAGCACAGAGTGTACCTGTGGCAGGTGATGGGCAAGGCAGCCTTGTACAGCTGAGGAATTTTTCTGTTTATCAGAGGCTGCAGAGCCTCCTTAAGGCGGTGATAGTTTCTCTCCAGTTCTCTTTGATACTCCTTTTGATCTGGTCCAATCAAGCTCTTATTTTTTCTTAAGGCATCCTCACACCTAGGGAGTAAGAAGATACATGTTTAGACATTCCCCTCCTGGGAATTTGTAGTGTTATGGTTTGAGTATAATATGGCCCCATAGACTTCATGTGTTGAAGGCTTTGTCCCCAGCTCATGATATTGAGGGGACTGGATCATGAGGGTGCTAACTTCATCAGTGGGTTATTAGGAAGGTGGCCTGGATGGAGAAGTACTTCAGTAGTGGTGTGTCCCTGGCCAGTTGCTCTCTTCCTGTTTCCCGTCTATGATGCAATGATCATCTGAGTTTATTTAAAATCTGATACTCTCTGTACTCATTAAATTAAATACATCTTTCATTAATTTGTAGCCCATGTTGGTCTAGAATTTGTGATTCTTCTGCCTTAGCTTCTGAGTACTGGGAAGTATATGCCATCATATCTGACTTTCATGGTGTTGGGGGATCAAACTCCAGGCAAGAGCGCTACCATTGAGTTGCTCCTGAGCTGTCAATGCTGACTCTGAAGCTATTTCCCCTACACTGTATCTAGACCAGAAACTCTAGGAGTTGTGGTCACTCATCTGTTCCAATGGTAGAGGGACTCCCCCCCCTTAATAGAAACAGTCTTGATTATTGGTTTTATAAACCAATTATTTGGTTTTATAAACAGTCTTGATTATTATACTATTTATTCAAATATTTTAAAAATCTGGATCTCAACCGCTAAAGAAAAGACATTTTAAAAGTAATATACAGGCTGGAGTGGTGGCACACAACTATAATCCTAATGGCCGAGAGGCTGAAACAGTATAACAGCAAGTTCAAGGCTCACATGGGCTGTCTCAATACAACAAAGCCATATCTATATATGTATGTCAATATCTTGCTTGTGAATGCTTAGAGAAATGCATAGCTTTAAATGCTTTTGTTATAAACAGGTCATCAAGCTTGACAACATGATCCCAGAGACCCATATGGTGGAAAGAGAGAACTGGCTCCACAAGCAGGTCCAGAGCATTTATGCATGTGTGTGTACATGCAATCACAAACACATATACATGTAATTTTAAAAATTAAAAAGAATGTTAATATTGAGGAGTAAGCAATCTGAACAGACTAAACTCAAAATGTGAGTTTATGTATTTTGGAAAAAGTGTATTATCACCTAGTTGAACACATGAACCCCAAGTCTGTTGTACATGTGTACAGGTATTCTTCTATATACGTTTTGTATGTATATGTTTTGCAATAAGAGCACAATCCAGAAGTCTCCAAATATATCCCAAATATACCAGCTAGAGGGAAAAAAGCACATTCATACAATGGAATATACAGAAATTAAGTAAAGCAACACTTAATAGTCACTGAAGACAGCAAATGACAGAAACCAATACATACTATTCATTTATATAAGGTTACAAAATGTAAAACAGTACAACATTTAGGGATTCAATCATTTCTGGTAAAACTGTAAAGAAGAGAAAACAAAATCAGGATGCTTCTGGAAGGACAGGAGGATGACACTAGAGTATAGAAATAAATGTAATTCAAGATTTAATGAAGGGCCGGGCGTTGGTGGCGCACGCCTTTAATCCCAGCACTCAGGAGGCGGAGGCAGGTGGATATCTGTGAGTTCGAGACCAGCCTGGTCTACAAGAGCTAGTTCCAGGACAGCCTCCAAAGCCACAGAGAAACCCTGTCTCGAAAAACAAAAAAAGATTTAATGAAGATAAGTTTTAAAAGACAAAACCTCAGACCAAAAGTAAAGTACACAGAAAGTATTATTTTTAGTAATTAAGAACAAACTGAATTGTCACTCAAAAATGATCAGCAGAGGACACTCTATTTATATAAGTTACGTAATGAAGCAGGGGGGCTGGGACTAACTGCGTTCTTGGCATTATTAATACTGAAACATTTGGGGTGTATACTATATTAAGAGCCAATATGTATTTTGGCTTAGTGATTTCATGATGGAAATTTGAATTCAACAAAAAAAGACCTTGTACTATAAATTAAACCATATTTAAATTCAAACAGGAAAACAATATCAAAGCAGTTAAATTGATGAAATAATATCACCATTTAAATAATGGTCCCAATTTTGAATGAAATAAAATTTAAGATTATATGCAAACTGTGAACTATGATATTTTGTCTGTGTGTTAGTAGAAAAACCTCCCAAATAATGAAATTAATGTAAGCAACCTGTGAATTTAATAAGTATGAAATATGTACATCTGCCAGTAAGTGGCACAGGTCATGTGTCCATATGTTAGGGACTATGTTTCCTGCTGTTTTCCAAGACCAATCCCATGAGCCCAAATGATTACATTATAAGATACATCAAACTAAAGATCTTAGAGCAAATTCAGGAAATAATAGAGTCAAAGAACAACCTACAGATGGGCAAAAATATGTGCAAAATAGACATTTGACATGGGGTTAATATCCAGGGCACATAAGGAACTCAAATATAAAAAAAAATCCAACAAAGGACAGTTATAACTATTGATCACAAAAGATATGAAAATGGACAATATACAACAGATAATTAAAAACACGAGTCATTAGAAAAATGCAAATCAAAACTACCTCATCCCATTTAGAAGAATGGATGTTACAAAAAAGACATCACATAGCAAGTGAAGGTGAGAATATGGAGAAAGGCTTTTGCTCTTGCACCCACTCTGCTCATCAATGCACCCTCTATAGCAAACAGTGTAGCTCTTCAAAACCATAAGAAAAGGGGGCTGGAGAGGGAGTGCAGCACACTTGCTGCTCTTGCAAGGCCCTGAGTTTGGCTAGGGCATACACATGGTGCCTCAAAACCACCTGTAACTCCAGTGCATGTAACTCCCTCTTCTGTCCTCTGCACGCACCAGAGACACATATGATACACTGGAACACATATAGGCAAACACTTGTACACATCAAAAGAAGCTTTAAAAACAAAAAAATGAAATAGAACTAAATGGCACACAACCCATAACCAGGTGTACACCCAAAGGAAACAAAATCAGTCTGCTAGGTAAAGAGACACTTAGACTCCCACCCCCACCCGTTCCACTGCAGCATGACTCCCAACAGCCGAGGAGTGGGAACAACCTACGCCAGCCATCCATCAAACAATGAATGGGGTTAAGTGGGGTGGGCAGGAAATGAGAGAGGGTAGAGGGTGAAAGAATTCAGAATACATAAATGGATGAAACTGTCAAAGAACAAATTTAATAATAAAAGAGGAGAAAAAGATGGTTCATTTAGGGATAGGGGAGGTGGCTGTTCAAGCATGATGACTTGAGCCTAATCCCCTAGCACACATGTGGAGAAAAACAACTAACACTCCCAACAACAAAAACAACAATGACAATAAACAAAAAACAAAAACAAAGCCCCCAAAAACTGAAAACCACCACCACCACAATGAGATATTTTACATATATATTAGTTTTGGTGGTGGATGGGTGGAGGGGAGGCAAAAGACAGGAGGATCCAAGGGCTCACTAGTTTGCCAGCCAGTCTAGTTTGCTTCAAGAGAGATTCTTTCAAAATATAAGGTGGAGCCAGGCATTGGTGGCGCACGCCTTTAATCCCAGCACTCGGGAGGCAGTGGCAGGCGGATCTCTGTGAGTTCGAGGCCAGCCTGGTCTCCAGAGCGAGTGCCAGGATAGGCTCCAAAGCTACACAGAGAAACCCTGTCTTGAAAAACAAAACAAAACAAAAAAAAAAACAAAAACAAAATATAAGGTGGAAATGCTTGAGGAAGACACCCAATCTCAACTTCTGGTCTCTCTGTGCATGCATATGCAAACATACAAACAAGGTACATATATATAATGGAATACATTTTAGCCTTAAAATCAAGTCTTATCTATAATAACACATAAGACGACATGTTGTGCAACATGAAATGAGGCTTGCTCAGGAAGACAGATATTGTACATGTGTAATCTAAAAATGTGATTCTCAAAGAAGCTGGGACTAGAACAGTGGTTATCAGATGCTGGGGAGAAGGATGGGGCAATGGGCAGAGAGAAACTGCCAAAGGATGCTCAGCCACATTAGACTGGAGCAAGACACTGTGACATGCTATTACAAAGTAGGGTAATCACATGACAATCCCAGTTCCTGTCATTCAATCTTGTTTGTAATTCAAATAAAAAAATTTAAAAAAAGGTAGGGTAATCACAGACTACAACACAGTATTATACAGTATATCCCAAAACAGTGAGAAGAAAAGATTTTGAACACTTTTACTATTAAGAAATGGTAAGCGTCCGAGGAGATAGATATATTTGTTTCTGACTTGAGCATTGTGTAGTGTATTCATGGATTGAAACATGTATCAGTTAAAAATAAATTTTAGTTTAAAAATCACATGATTTCCTAACTGATTAAGTTTGTTTTGCTTCTGTGACAGAGTCTGATTCAGTCCAGTCTGGCCTCAAACTTGCTGGATAACAGATATCCCTGAACTTTTGATTCCCCTGTGTGTACCTCTCAAGTGCTGAGATTACAGGTGTGTTAACAGTTTTATGTAGTCCTAGGGATTAAACCTAGTACAACTTCATGCATGCTACACAAACACTCTACCTGTAGACCTGTATCCCCAGACCCCTGATGAAGCTTTTTGAGATTTTGTTTTGGAGTCTGTAAAGCTCACGTGGAAGGAACTGAGAGTGTTGTCAGGCTAATGCAATGAAAGAAGTGACAGCACCATCCACATTTACTGATGGTAAAAAGTGATGTTCAATAAAGTTATTTATAACTTAATAAACTATCTGACAAGATAAACAAGACTGGGTTCTCTGGCTTGAGCTCTGCAGTCACTCAGTCATTGCTTAATGGTCCAGTGGCTCTTTCAGAAACTTTCGTCTGTGTTGGGGATTAAATCCAGTACCTTAATGAGCTAGCTAGGCAATTGCTCTACCGCTGTGCTACAGCTGCAGCCCATGATAGTGTTTTAGTCTGACCTCTAGTGTTCTTTCCAAGGTGTTTCTCGGACCCTTATGCCCAGGCTTCTATTGTTTCAGCATTGTTGGGTTACTGACCATTCTTGCACAGACACTGAAGTTGGTTCATGTTTTTTTTCCTTTTTGGTATATTCTTTTACTTTTTATGTGTAAAACCTAGAGTTAATTCTTCAAGGTCCACATAAAATGTGTGGCATCTTTCCAGACACTGTCAAGTTGCATTAATCAGTCTCTCTTTTGTTTTTGTTTTTTGTTTGTGGTTTTTCGAGACAGGGTTTCTCTGTGTAGCTTTGGAGCCTATCCTGGCACTCGCTCTGGAGACCAGCCTGGCCTCGAACTCACAGAAATCCGCCTGCCACTGCCTCCCAAGAGCTGGGATTAAAGGCGTGCACCACCAACACCCGGCTAATCAGTCTCTCTTTTGTGATCATTCTGTTAGCAAATAAAAATCAGGAATTAAGTAGCTGATAAAGACTTCGCACCATAGTTACAACAAATTCTAATATTTATTGATTATCTATTACTATGTGCCAAATATTAGTCTAGCAGTGCTTCTAAGTTGATTTTGTGCCAGGGGGAAGTTAAGACTGTATACCAGGACTGCTGTCCTTAGAAGGCCTAATTACAATGCTGGCTCTTGGTTGGCCTCTGGGAATCTGGACATGGGGAGGGGCTTGCTGTCCCAGATATTACGTTGATATTGCCTTCGTCCTGCCAGTTTAGTGTTTTCGTGTGCCATCCCCAGAGAGTTCCACTTACTCTGTTACAATTTACTGCTGGAGGAATTCAACACAGCTTGTGTCTACACTGGCAGAGGGTCCTCTGAGCACTGTACCACCTGTTATTACCCTTGCTGACATTACTCTGTATCTTTTTCTGTGCAACCAGTCACAGCAACCAGAACAATTAGTTACATGCTGAGGCTTCCTAATAATTCACCAAATGGGGGTGTGCTTGAGAAACTAGACACCCAAGCAATCTTTAACTCAGTTTGTAAACCTCTCTATGAGAGGGAGATTACACCATCTTTCATTTGTTAGGAAACTGAAGATCACAAAGACTAGGTGACCTGGACAAGGACATACATACACTAATAAGGTTAGGATTTCAACATCTTTTGCTTCAGTTTCTTGAGGGTGCTACATACGGAAGAATAATAAGAATAGTAATAATTTTTTTGGGGGGAGGCATAAACTGAAGCTTTCAAGTTAAAGAGTTGTGGTATGGGGAAGAGTGCAGGTATATGCTAGCAAAGAACAGTAAATGCCATGCAGACTGCTTCTCATGGTGAACCAATTGCTATTTTCTCTTTTCAACAGTTCCTTGTGGCTCTTACGTTAAGATAAGATGTCAATACTGAGGTATTGGCCACTCTTAATTTAAAGCTCTTTATGCAAGAAGTCTCAATTACCTTTTAGTAAAATCCTTGAAGCAAAGGCGCAGCTTGTTGTGATGTCTGAAGAGCTTTGGGTCAGCAGGTATTTCAGACAGGAAGACCTGGGCAACCTCCAGAGGTCCCTGAAAAATAAAAGGAACCAAGTGTTTTTATTCTTTAGAGCCATGGAGTTTACCCACAGGACCATGGCACTGACAGGGCTACATTTACACTGAATACAAGCATGTCTGTTACTATTCTCCCGGGACAGAGACCACTTCAGGTTTTCCAAACTTCATACCTAAATTCTTGTCTCCTAAAATTAGTTTCCTTCCTTCCTTCCTTCCTTCCTTCTTCCTCCCCCCCCTCCCCCTCCCCCCCCCCCGCCCCCGCCTGTCCCTCTCCTGCCTGGCTATTGGCCGTTCAGCTCCTTATTAGACCAACCAGGTGCCTTAGGCAGGAAAGGTGGAACAATAACATGTCTTTACCCAATAAAACAAATTCAGCACATCACTATTTTATATGTATGAGTATTTTGCCTGCAGGTATATATATGTACTAGTGTAGGCAGGTCCCACTGACCAGAAGAAGGCATTGGATGCTCTGGAAATGGAGTTAAGAGATGGTTAGAAGCTGCCATATGGGTACTGGAAATGGAACGTGGGACCGCTGGAAGAGCAGCAAGTGCTCTTAACTGCTGAGCCATCTCATCAACCCCAGATTCATTTCTTACTGGTTCATCCTTCAAAGAAATGAATATGCCTTTGAGGACTGACTACTGACTTCATCAATACACTCTGCCTTGTAGTTTTTTTTAAATTATTCTGCATGCACAAATTTTAACACATCTCCCAATCCACTGGTTATTACACCTGATTTTAAAAAAACAACTTCCCTCAGCATTGCAAAGGTTATTCCTGATGCAATAAATTAAACACAATGACTTTTCGTCTTTTAAATCATTTGAAGGGAAAAAACAAAGATCTTATTTCAGTTTTATACAAGAGCATTTCTCAGCATTGCTCTTTAATCCAAAAAGTAAAAACATATGCAAAACCTGATTAAAGCATTTCTTGATGCTCTTAACTTGGTATATTCTTTAAGACTGGGGCCATGCCTAAATCATAGCAAGACGATCTGAGCAAACCAACTATAGAGTTATCACAATGGCTACCAACATGTGTGACAAAACAATAGTGGTATTTTATATGCAAATGTCATTACATTTTCCAAAATGGTTTCACATTATTTATTCCATACAACTCATTGTGAAGATCTGGACAAGGAAACACCATCAAGCATCTAAGAGAGCAGAGGTTCACATGTATTCAACACAGCTCTGGAATGAGTCTTTTTTGAATCATGTATACTTTTTAAGGGAAGAATTTTTTTTTTTTGTTTTATCAAGAGACAGAGTCTCATGATGTAGCCTGAACTTGCTCTGGAGACCAGGCTGGTGCTGAACACAAAGATCAGCCTGCCTCAGCTTTCCCAGTGTGGGATTAAAGGTATGTCTAGCAAAGAATATTTTAAGTGATGAAATTCCTACAATATAACAGATATAAGCATAGGCAATGGAAAAGGTAGGTAAGAAGATTGTTACTTCAATTTCTCAATATATCTCCATTTATACTTCAGTACCTTGTGGATTTGCATGATTCTGTCTTTCTATAAACATTACAATATTACTCCAAACCCAGTGTGTGAGTTAAACTGCACACACCCAGCAAGAAGCACCAACCTGGTTCACAGTTGTGCCCACAGACCCCTGCAGGACCATCTGAAGCATTTTGGGGTCTGCTGGATCCTGATGTGTTGCAAACGCCAATTCCTGTGTCTTTTTCTGCATGTCTTCAATAGCAACTTCAATTGGTGTTAAGATTATCTGAGTGAAGGAGTAGCAATCAGGTCAGTGCACTGACTGAAAACTATCTAATGAGCTTTAAATAATAAAGTCAGAAGAAATGGAGACCCATTATAAGCTTTCATATAACAAAATTCTAAACCTCAATCCCTAAATTAATAAAAACAAACCAACAAAAAAAACCCATAAACTGATGAATTAGGGGCCTAGAAGTTAGCCAAAATTAACAATGGTAAAATCCTAGCATGCTAAAACCACATGTCAATTCACAGCATGGATAAACTTGTTTCATGAATTCTTTTTCCTCAGTTGTAGACTTACCTCTTCTTTGTGAGTGACATTGACCCTTGTTTTAATGTAAGGAAAGGCGTGAGACGTTGTCAGAATGGTTTTCCGTTTGAACTGTTCATGAAGTTCCCCATGGGCACGGCCATCTAAAGTGAAGGGTGTACAGTACATGAAACGTCGGAGATTATAATTCTTGTCAAAATAAGTGATTCTGTCCTTCATCTCATAGGTGTCGAAGAATGGCTCCACATAAGTAATCTGAATGTATGCCTGAAAAGGGAAAAGGTCCTTATTCACTAACAATAATCTGTCACCTAGTACATGTCAAGCAAAATAATGTGGAGACCTTCAGAGAGGAAACTACACATTATTACAGTGTCATCAACCTACCTTGTTAGGATCTAATTTACACTTGTCTACAGGATTAGAGTCCTTGATTACTTCAACCACATCCTCTCCAAATCTTTCTCCATAAAATCCCTGTAATGAAGAGAAGGCAATCTCTTACACAGCTTTCCCACAAAACCAGAGCAGGCCCTGGAGAAAGACTCCTCAGCAAGACTGGGGGATTTGACAAGTTTTGTTCTAACTATGTCGTTTCCATCCATACAATAACAGCACAAAAAATAATTTTCTCCAATAAAAAACTCAGGTTTTTACAGGGGTCCTCAAGAGATACAAGACTGAGCCAAAGCTTGGGCAATGGTCATGGCTCTTCCTTCCAAAGGAAAAACTAAGCCATCGAAGGAGGTGACCTTTAAATCCAGCCACCCAATCTCCATGTGGTACCCCACACCTCCCAAAGGGATTTGTGTGATAAAGTTTGGGAAATACAGTCTCCGTATTTCTCAAGACTTACCTAAGTCATAAACAGTAAAAAGCCATATTTGAGCCAGTTTATGAAAACCAAGCCCAGCAAAATGAGCAAAGCAAGGATCAATACCAGCTGGAATAAAAACAAGCCTAGAGGCCTGCTTCCCAAGCTGTTCTGGGCACACAAGTCTCTCAGGGATCCTGTCAAAATGCAGACTTTGATTTAGAAAGTCTGGGGGGATGTGGGATTCTACATTTGAAGATCTCCTATATGATACTAACGCACCCGAGCCACGAGCCACACTTGGAGCAGTAAAAGAAGGTTCAGAAGAGCAACTGGAAAGGAAAGATGTGTTAACACAAAAATACAAAGCAGTCATCTAGGAGAAACAAGGAGCTCTCAGGAAGGGATACTATGAAGTGTTTCCAGGTGTGACTGCAGCAGTTAATCTCTGAAGGCGCCTCACTGGACGGTTAGGTCACAGAGACAACACCCGAGCCAGCTATTTCCTGGGCCTCTGCTTCCAATCTCATTACATACTGCTCCTTAATGTCTTGTCTCTTTCTCAAGTGTAAAAAAATTGGAGTAATTCCGAAGGGTAAAGGAGCTTAGAAAATATGTGTGAAAATAAAGTATAGCTAATACCAATTTGCTGCTGTTATAAAGGAACTGAAGGCTTTGAAAGGGTGTTATTATACCTCTCAAACATTCTTTTATACCACACAAATCATTCATCTGGCTTATCTGGATAATAAAACTGGATGTGAAAGTCTATTCACTATAGAAACATAAGATGACATTCGTGAACCACCACGGCATTCACCTCCAATCTGTGAGAAATCTCTGCGAGTTTGGTTATGGCAGGCTCCTTGTAAACAAACTCCTGTTCATCCAAATCCCCGAACTTGGTTCCATAAAAACCAACACGGAAATAGGTGCCAAACATCCGCTTACCATCCTAGGTTTAGGAAAATGAGAAAATTTAATATATAGACTTTTTGCTTTTGACATTATGCTTAGATTGCTATTTTGTAAAATTTCCACAACACTGTAAAAAGTTAACTCAAAATTATGTTTATTTTTCAAATGAGGGTAAAAACAAAGAAAACTATTTTTCTTCACTATTTCTAACAAGGATTATGCAAATTAGGGTTTTTTTTGGTTTGTTTTTACCAAATGAAACAAAATGGTCTTTGTTTTAAAGTTCATACAGTTGGGCTATATTAATTTATTTTCCTTATTGAACCAAACAGTCTTAATATAAAAGTAAACCAAGTTAATTAAAACACAGCACTAATATATTTTCAAATCAACACTATCCTTCTCATAGTCTCTATGAGTATATTAAAAAGAGATCATAGAAGTTAGGAGCAAGCCGGGCATTGGTGGTGCACACCTTTAATCCCAGCACTGGGGGGGGGCAGAGGCAGGCAGATCTCTGTGAGTTCGAGGCCAGCCTGGTCTACAAGAGCTAGTTCCAAAAAAAAAAAAAAAAAAAAAAAAAAAAAAAAAAAAAAGAAAGTTAGGAGCCAAGGACAGCATCTGGCATAGAGTACAAAATCAGTAAAGTGTCAAAATCCTTCAGAAGTACTAATGTAAAAATTAGTTAATCAGTACTATTCTGCTGCTAAAAATATTTGTATGTGGAAGACTAAAAATGGAATAGAAAGAAAAAATGTAAATGCAAGGTAATAATAAAATTTTGAGATGGGTTGTTATTTTAAAGACCACCAAAAGCACTCACTAAATTCCTGATTTCTGATTTTTGTATAGTAAGAATTACTATCCTGCTCTCATTTCATTGGCCTTTTCAGTGACACCCTGTATGACATCTCAGAAACACAGGATAATGTGATAGGACCTAACATTAGCCACACATTGCCAGCGGTACAAGGACAGAAAGTCACACTAATTCTCACACAAACTCAGTGAGAACCAATCCTTTCAGTAAGGATTACACCTGGACATTTCTAGCAATTTTGAGAATGCAGTGACTCCTATGTGTAAAGTATTAAGTTCCTCTGAGTTCTCTTTAAGTCTAAATTGCTTTATGTTTATTTTTGCAATGAACAAAATGAACAACAAATGTTATAAATAATTAAGCAAAATGAGAAACTTTGATCCTAATTTACCAATACTGAAGTGAGGAAAAAGTACAATGATAACCCCATATTCTCAGCTATAATAAGAAAAATATCTTTGAAGCTAAAGAAATGAAATTTGTAACAAAACCATTTCTTCAATTACTTCATTTGAAATTTAACATAAATATTAATTGATTCTGGTAGTAAATGAAATCTGTAGATGAATTTCATGAAAACTTTTATTAGAACCACCAGTAGGTCAATAATATACTTTAGCACAAGGCAAGAAGGCACTGCATGGAACACAAACAAAATATCTAAGATAACTATTTATAAATCTGTGATTAATTTTCAAATACATTGAATAGTTCTCATTTCTTAAAAGCAAAAATACTAAAATACTCTATTCCAGCTGTCTGGCTCAAGAGGTTTCCAGTTTAAAATGTTATTCTAGACTGGCATTAGTGGCGCACACCTTTAATCGCAGCACTTAAGAGGCAGAGGCTGACAGATCTCTTTGAGTTTGAAGCCAGCCTGCTTTACAGACTGAGTTCCAGGACAGCCAGGCCTGTTACACAGAGAAACCCTGTCTCAAAAACAATGTTATTATAAATCTTTAATATGACCCAAAGACAGTAATTAGGACTTGCTTCCCTTAGCTAAACTCTCCAATTCTCAACCTTTGTATCCTGCTTCCATTTTATTGGTCTGTCTGGTGACACTCCATAATGTGTGCCATCCCAAAACAGGCACAATATTGTGATGTGACCTGATGGTGAAGAGACTCGTGAGATCACTGCTTCACTAGTTCGAATTTTGGATCTAACTAAATCTTAACTACATCTTTTAACATATTTTTCATATTGATATTATTATGTTAGCTATTATTCACCTTCACTAATAATTAGACTTGCTCCTCAAAAGAATAAAATGTAAAATCAAATGATTACAATATAAATAGGTATAAACTGTAATGAGTAGTATCAAGAATGAAAGATTAATCTTGGAGCCAAATCACAAATAGGGTTCTAGCCATCTACAAGGCTCAACATTTAAAAAAAAAAAAAAAAGAATGACCAAATGAATGGAGGTAAAAAGAGGGGACATTCCAGTAGACAGAGGATGTATGTGAAGGAAACTGAATTCAGGTACTGAATGCCTAAGGTATGTCAGGTATTGTGACACAGGAATTCACCAAAGACACACAGAAGGGAAAACTCATCAAGCAGGTGACAACTGAGGAAAGAGGGGCAAAGCTCTTCATACAGATTTCCAGCCAGAGTAAAAGTCAGTGCAAAGGCTCTGAGGAAGGAGCCTATCTGGTGTATTTGAGAACAGTGTGGATGAGGCAGAGGAAATCAATTGAAGAACAGGAGGCAATAACATCATAGAATTAACAAGGTGTTCTTGGACCTTGTGCATGTGAGTATGTGTGTGGTGTAGAGGGTGGGATAGACAGAGAAGACCAATAATCTGAGCAGCCACATTTCAATTTAGAATCCCCCTCCCACTGACCCCCCTGCATGGTATCTGGTTTATCAAAGTGTAATCAATCATGTAACTTCACCTCCAGTAAAAAACATTTAATTTTCTCTTCAGTTTTGATACTTGCTTTTGTTTTGAATTACTTCCTATAGTTTAGCATTACTTGCTTTATGATTCAGAATTCATTCTGAATTTCACATCACTCCCACACTATACATAGCATATTCTTCCTTAGCAGCTTTACTCATGGCTTTCTTAACTCTGTGGGTGATGAAACTGCATCAGCAAAGAAAATTACCTCCCATGCCAAACATATTTGCATCTGTCCTAGCTTTGTTTTCTTTACTAAGGAAGAAGCTGTCTGTTGGGATAGTGGTATACTTCCATAATGACACCATTTTGGTAACTGTGTTTATCTTCATTCAGCTGTTTCCATTATGCTAGCTGATTGCCATACAGGCACAATAATACCTTATACGTTAAGTCTGTTCTTAATGACCATTTATCAGATTCTTCTAGCCATGATTTCCACTTAGGAACATAAGACAGGGAACATTTTATTGACCTTTTTTTTTTTTTTTTTTTTTTTTTTTTTTTTTTTTTTTTTTTTTTTTTTTTTTTTAAGAGGGCCGGGGAGGGACTGATCCTGGGGCCTTTCATACTTTAGGCAAACACTCTACTAATGAATGACTTCTCAGCCCTGTTTGTTTTCCATCTTGAGACAAGGTCTTGCTAAAGTTTCCAGGATAGCCTTAAACATGCAATCCTCTTGCATCCTCTTCTGGAATAGCTGTTATTACAGGAATGTGCCATTGCACCTGGCCTATTAGCCTAACTTATGTTAAGATTTCGACAAGGGCCAGGGCATAGCTCAGCAGTCCAGCACTTGTCTAGATTTCATGAAGTCTATGGATCATATCACCATTATAGCAACAACAAAACCAACAGATTTCAAGTAACTATAATGGTAGTATCAATGTTGTACAAAGCCAACAATAAAAAGTGACCTCCAACAGGTTTTGATTAATTACTATGTTGTAAACACTTTATATGCATTATATTATCTCTCTCTCTCTCTCTCTCTCTCTCTCTCTCTCTCTCTCTCTTGCCTATGCTGGCCTTGAACTCTCAGTCCTCCTGTTTCAGCCACCAGAGTGCTGAAATGAAAGGCACACCACAGTTTGTCCAGCCTATATGTATCACATTAATATTTAGCAGAATTCTGTGATTAGTACCACTATTTTGACCCTCATCTTACAGATGAAAGAAACAAACAAAAAACCCAAAAATCCTTGCCTATGATCACACTGTAGTAACTGATGGAGCTAGAAGTTAAACTCTGGCATTTTTATGTGATACCCAAATCCAGGCTCTTTCTTCAGGTACATTTTTCCATAGTCCATCCCCAAGTACAGACACTAGGACATGAGAATGATCCTGAGTTGTCATCACCTCTCTGGTTTTGCTTAAGAACTTGGAGTAGGCTGGGGAGACGGCTCAGAGGTTATGAGCACTAGCTGCTCTTCCAGAGGTCCTGAGTTCAATTCCCAGAAACCACATGGTGGCTTATAACCATCTGTTATGAGATCTGGTGCCCTCTTCTGGTGTGCAGATAAACATGGAAGCAGAATGTTGTATACATAGTAAATAAAAAAAAAAATCTTAAAAAAAAAAAAAGAACTTGGAGTAATCCAATTTATTTTTGTTTTGCTCTGGCTCAAAAACAGGGTTTCTTGTTGGGTAGCCTAAAACTCCCTAGTTAGTGAAGACTGGCCTTTAACCCCTGATCTTCTTGCCTCAGCCTCCCAAGTCCTGGGATTATAAACACACCTGCTAAATAATTCACTACAGAATTACCTCCCCTTCTCTGCTTGTTTTTATCTTCCTTTGTATTGCTGTGTCATCCCCTATCATAACTGTTTTTGCAATTTGCAGGTCTTTTTCACACAATCCAATATGAAGATTAAGTGGTAGTTTAACAGACATACTTTTATAGCCTAGCCAGTTTCTTATCAGAGGTCCAATTCTGATCATTACATATCCCCATTCCCACAAAAGATGTAATATCCAATATCATCTACATTTTGCTTATCCCAAAGCCAGCAGAGGAAGCAAAACAAAATGGTATGGCATGGTCTCACTAGATCCACCTTAAGGTCTACTACCAGGGAGGCATTCACCACCCCCTCAGCCAGCACAGCTCATGGGTCCTGAGGAAAAGAGCCATGAGTGCTTTATACCTATATTTCTTCTCCTCTTGTAAAGTACTCCACGCTCCCCGAATCAGCTACCTAAAGGAACCTTTATGTTCCATCTTCAAAAAAGAAAAAAAGAAAGAAAGAAAGAAAGAAAGAAAGAAAGAAAAAAAGAAAGAAAGAAATCTTTTGTGGTATTCATTTCTTTCCCTTCATTTTAATTGGCTGTTTCTAATTCTGCATTCATTTTATTAACTTGGATGAATTATAGTATTTGACTCAACAACAGTGTAGAAGCCAAACTTTTAGCCAGTGTTTCTGAGCACACAACAACCAAAGCATTAACTCCTATTTGTGTTCATCCAATTCAGTAATAAGTTAAGGCAATCATTTTAGATGTTTCTATGACAAAGGTTACGGGATATCACTCTCTTTATAAAGCTAACTTTACTTTCTCTAGCAGCTCTAGATTCTAAAAGGCATGGTGGAGTAGAGTATGGTAATGTCTTTGAAGGAGTAGGTTGTATTTTTTTTTTAAATAGACAAAATGTCATGTAACTATATTATCAACATTTGAAGAGAGTTGTTTTGAAAAATATGAGCTTCCAGTGGTGAATATCTTCATACAGACTGATAACTATCTGGCAAATGAACAAATGAATCTTTTGAAAACAAATGGATGCACACAAAATGTGAAACAGTCACCACATTTTCAGAAAGAAATGAAACATTTTCTTTCAAAAATAATTTAAGTGTGGGCTGGAGAGATGGCTCAGAGGTTAAGAACACTAGCTGGTCTTCCAAAGGTCCTGAGTTCAATTCCCAGCAACCACAAGGTGGCTCACAGCCATCTATAACAAGATCCGGTGCCTCTTCCAGCTAGCAGGCACACATGAAGGCAGAACACTGTATCCATAATAAACAAATAAACACATCTTTAAAAAATAATTTAAGTACACCATAGGAAATGATTTATTTTCTATTATTTCAAGAACAAACGAGCTTTGGGAAAAATGAAAATAAAAGCAAAAAGCAAACAGATATTGAGGAACAAAATGTGCTAGAGTAGTCAACAGTTGCAGGTTCTGCAGAATTCACAACAAATCACTGACATTTAAATACTTGAGTAAACTGCTAAATATTGTGGTATCAAGGTTGAGGGTTCTCCCCCCACCCCCAAAGCCTTGCTAAGCCAAATTATTTCTATGGAATCAAGAACAGAATGTAAAATGAGGGACATTGCAGAATCAAGAAACTTTCTACAATATATAAACTGTTCTTACTAGATATTAATCCAATGAGAGTTCTACGAGAAATACTAAGAAATTAGCTAAGAAACAGTTTTAGAAAAAATGAAATCACTGAAGCTGTCAGAGTCAAACAGGAAAATATTCACAAGATAGGAACTTACCACAATAGACAATAGTAAAAGTAGGGAGTAGGTCAGCAACCAGGGGCAAGAGAGAGAAAACAGAAAGCATTTTAATTAGGGGAATTTAACAACATTTAAGCAGCAAATGGCAGCAAACACATCTGTAAAATGCAAGCATCCACTTAAGTTTAACAAGGGATAGCAAAAAACACACGTGCAACAAATTCAGATGCTATGAAGCTGAAGATCCAGTAAGGCAGTGACAGGAATGCAAACAAGGAAATAAGGTCTGTGCAACTTTTACCATGCAGCATGATGGGAGAATGGTATTAATGTCACAACCAGTGGAAAGTATATCGTCCAGGGGTCGATTTAGCATCAAGCAGATTTGTAAAAAACTGCTCAGAGGTTTTAATATATTCTTAATTTTATGTGTACTTTTTAGCTAATTCTATTTCATGTTAGAATACCCATGAGGAAATTTATTCCTCAAAAACAGCCATGGCAATACTCTGCATATGCTTAGATAAAGCCACAGAAATAAGAGATTGTATTTTAAGCATGAATAAGGGCATACAGATTTAATCTGGAGAATGAAGACAGATGTACAAGTTCTGGCGCATGTAAAGATAAGCAGGGGGTAGGTGCTTTTTGAGAAATGGAATGACATCCAGTAGTAACATTTGTCTCCAAGGTATTCTAATGGGTCCCCAAACAAGGATTGCAAAGGAACCAAATAGAGAAGCCTAGCCTATTTAGCCAAAATAAGTCTAATGACAAGTGAGAGGCAAAGCCAAAAATCTTACTAACATACCTAGCCCAAATAGACCTTATTTACTATTAGGGCATGATTTATAGAATTCTCTCCTTTACAGAAATATGAAAAATCATTATAATCAATTGTTAAGGCAATTACAGATAAGACTTAATGTATATTTAAACTTTTCCAAATTTAAGTACTACATAAAAGGAAGCACATATAGTCTTCATTATATAGTGATAAACACTATCAGAATATGAGGTCGAATTAAATATTAAGTTTTCTCAATTTCTTTATCTTGCTTCCCCAACTAAATTTAAGTGACCAAAATCAATTTCTTTCCAGGTGTGTGTATGTGTGCGTGTGTGCTATATACAGGGCCATGTGACTCATGTTCAAATTAAACACCATTTCTTCAATTCTAACATGCCTATTTTCCTCCCACATTTTAGTTATCACCAGAATTGGCCTCCATTGTTACAGGATGCCCAGTTTAGCACACAAATGACTTTTCTACAAAGACACAGAAAATAGTATGTCCCCAACTGATGGAATCAAACAAAATATAATATTTTTTCATTTATACCTCTGAGCAATAACATATAAATCGACCTCTGAAAATGAGTGAAACAATATGGTTAAAAAAGAAATCTGTGTGTAAGTGTTGATGAAAGAAATGCATCAAAGGATAAAAACAAACTAAAGTGATAACACAGTGGCTCATTTACCAAAGAATCTCATTAGTGTAACAGGGGCTTCCATGCACTGCCTAGAACCTCTAAATCAAAAAGTTCTTAAAATAACTTACAGTGTTTTAACAAAATTTCTTTGGTTAATGAATTCAGTTGATAAGCAGACAGCAACAGAATGCCCACAGCTAGCACATGTGGGCAAAGCATCGGCATAAGAAATCTGGTCAAATCCATCTATTAGTGTCTTAAACTAACTAAAACATTACCTACCTCCCAGCCAGTACTCTGTGTAACAAAAAGTAAAAAAAAGGGCAAGTCATAAAAAAAACTGTTCAAAAGAACAAAAAGGCCAAAGGAAGTTCAGTTACATGGTACCATACCACAAAATCTTCTTGACAGAGGATAACAAAATATTTTAAACAGCACATACTCTTTCATTTAAGACTGACAGAAATTTTATGACATATTCGTTCAAAATTCAAGCTGTAAAATTTTATCTTTGCAAAGCTAAGTTTTAAAAGTGAAAGTACTTCTTAAGCGGAAGTACACATTTCAGGGAAAGGGAACCTAATTTGGCGCCTGTTCTGTCTCTATGTCTAACTCAGATCTCTAGTTACCATGAGCTTCATTCCACTGAAATATCCAGGTTAAACAGGACATACATTGCAATTTTGCTAAATACCAGGATGCCAGGAACTCAATCAAATGGAACTTTCTTGAAAACTACTAGTAGTAGCTCTACATGTTCCAGACTGGACACATAAAATTTGCATCATAGAGCTCTCAAGGCAGATGAAGCTCCCATAGCATGTGCATAATTGATTATTAAAAAATACCTGTAACCATCATGAAATCTAACCAATCTTTTGCAACTTCAATATTTTAGAAGATTACAATAGAGTCCAATAGACTCAGTCAGAAGGTACCAACCACTAACAGTCTATTTCACTTTCTAAGGAAGTTTAATTTGATTCTAATTTTGGTGATAATGTGGCCTACACAGGAAAGTAAAGTACTGATGAAATCACTCTATAAATTACACAAGAACGTCTTTCATTCATTATTTTTGTGTTAGAAATACACTGTGGGTAACAGTGCGAATGTAGAAGAAACAAGCACAGCCATAGCAGTAAAAAAGAATACCAGGATTTCATTAATATTTCATACCACTCAACAAAAAGTTAATTTACATATAAAACCTTTTGGCAACAAAGGAACAGATATTAATTTAAGTATCAGATCCATAATTATAATCTACAATACAATACAGAAAATAAAGATCCCAAAACATTGATAAAGAGTGGTAATTCAAAAGTTTTAGGGGGAAAAGTCATTTGGGAAGTTTCTAATAATCATAAGCACTTTAGGTAAATTCACTCATGTTTTTGTTAACGAGTCTGAATTTAACCAGGAACCTTCTTTTAGCCCAAGTAAAATGGTCACTTCATGGGATCTGGTTTGATGTGAACACAAGGCAATGTTAAGGTTTCCACACTTTCCCCCAACTATTAAAGCTACCAAGTGGGACTGTTACCTGATGAACGATTTTGCTGAATGCTTCTTGAAGTTTACCATGGATGGTGGAGAGCTTCTTTGCATCCCGATTAGCTTCATGAATAGGAATGAGTACTTTGTAAACCTCATTAACTGCTTCGTACATGCCAGCCTACAGAAATAATGTTTGTGAGATACCGCTTTCTTTTAGAGCAATGAAAAGATCATTACAATTTGTAAATTCACTGTATTTTTATTAAGATAATACCACTGAAGCTTTTCCAATAGGTCTAACTTTTAATTGTATTAAAACTTAAAACCAATTTTATGTAATGTATTATTCCCTCTGAAGGACTCAAATGGGTATGTGTTTATATTACACACACATGAATAGTTATATCGATATAAAGTTTGAACTGGAATCCTGTTCCTCTCTAGCCTACAGTGACTTCACTAAGGTAAACGTGCATATGTGCGCATAAACTCCTGAGAACTAATTATGAGAACTCCAAGAAATTCAACTATTATACTGGTCACAGATCTCCAATTCTCTTAACAACTAGATAATCTTTGGTCTTTGGGAAAACCTAAATCATTTGCTTTTCCAAAACTGTAAGTTGGACCAGGAATTACTTACTAGAAACTCATGGAAAAGTCTTTAAATATTTTAAGGCAATGTGAGGTTTTGCTCAATTGCATGGCTGTTGCATTCTTTCACATAGCAGCTACCACTGTAACAGGAGGGGGCAGTTTTCCCAGGGCTTTACAGATCTCAAGAGCTCTTTCTGTAAATGTGAGTCTTACATGCTTATAGAACACATCACAGGAGGGTCTTTCTGTAAGTGTGAGTCTTATACACTTCCAGGACACATCACAGAGGATCTTTCTGTAAGTGTGAGTCTTACATGCTTATAGGACACATCACAGGAGGATCTTTCTATAAGTGTTGAGTCTTACATGCTTATAGGACACATTACAGAAGGATTTTTCTGTAAGTGTGAGTCTTACACACTTCATGACACATCACAGAGGATCTTTCTGTAAGTGTGAGTCTTACACACTTCAGGACACACCACAGGAGGATCTTTCTGTAAGTATGAGTATTACACACTACAGGACACATCACAGAGGATCTTGAAACAATGATGTAGATTCAATAAGGAATAAATTTAGCATAGCTAAACACTCTAGGAATTAATAAGTTAAAAGCTTAATTCAAAATAATATATAATTAATATATATTAATAATGTGTTAACAAAAGAATTTCTGCACAAAAGACCTCTAGTCTTTAATCTAAATGTACTTCTGTGAATTATTGGAATTATACACATACACAAACACACAAATAAAATTTACATATTCTGTCAACAGAAAAAAAAAATCTTGCCCTATCCCTCAGCTAGTTCACTCTACTTTAAGGCAAGAATGGTATGGTCATGGTCCTTAGAGATAGGACATTTTTGAAAGGACTGAAATCTGGAAAAATATTTTTAAGAGCTTGAAAATCATTATACTTAAATATGTTGGTTCTAAGGACCAATAATGCTAAAGATGGTATTAATGCCAGTGTATAAAGTGGTAAGCATCCTCTATATATGAACTTATTTACTTATTCCTCATGCTAACCTGAGGTACATATTATTATTAGATATATTTACCTGTTAAGCAAAGACATAAATACACTAAGCAAATTGTACCTGAAATAACTCAGCTACTAGGTGTGGAGCTCAGACTGAACTTGACACACTTGAACAATACCTTGCAGGATAGGGTCAAGGCCTAGAGAAGAAATCTAATTACCAGAGAAGAATAACAGTTCTGCATACCATTTCAAGCTTTGCCCTTACCCTTTCCATAAACCTTATGGTCTCCTGAACCTTGGTGCTAGGACACTGAACACTAAGCAGTAAAGTCCAAGGAAACACGGACTTGATCAAAGAGGAGCAAGAAGGTTGGGCTATGTTCCTTCTGCAAACGTCCTGTCTGGGCTCCCCTTGACAGTTTCAATTCTTCACATACAGATGGGAGGGAACAAGGACTGGTGTTATACAAGCAGAGCAGGCAGGCAAGGGATGCAGGATGAACTCTGATATGCAAGAGCCAGTCCTCCAAAACCTACTCAGGAAGGACCACTCTACAAGCACAGCTCAACAAATGGGGAGAAAAAAAAAAAATCTCTAATTCATCTTGTAGAAATGCTGTAATGTCATGTTAGTCTACTCTAACAGAATTTTTTTTTTGTTTTTATTTTTTTTAATTTAAAGGTTTCAGAAAATACTTTGTAAACAAAGAAAATAACTCTTGCAGATTAACTCAGATTAACCTGGTTCATAAACAAGTAAATGAACATACTGGACAAGCATAGATCATTAAGATACTAGGAGCAGCCTGGACAGATCTGGAAGGTCAGCTCTTCAGGGCACCTGAAGCAAATGTTCTTAAAGGAAAGGCAAGGTCAAAAGGCAGGGAACACCATATACATGTCATTTATGGATCAGGAAACTGTCACCTACCATAGAGAAGGAAGCAGCTGCTTGTTCCAGCAACCCCACCAGTCCTGACTCAGTAAAGTACTTTCCGGAGCAGATACCTTCTTCATCTGGAGACACCACATCATCTGAGACAGCAGACTCTTCCAATACATTAGATGAAATATTCTAGGGAAAACAGATTAAAAAGGTTTTGGCAGTGACTTACTTTCCTAGTATGAAAAATGTACATGAGGAAGTAACTGACTGCTAGATTTAACTATTAACTAAGGTTAAAGAAAAGAAGCTGGGATAGAGCTTATATAGCAGAGCCCACACTCATCTGTGTGAGACTCTGGATCCAGCCCCTATGCACACCTTCACAACAGGAAAGAGAAATCTCTAAAACCACACTCTATTTTAAAATAACAATAAAATTTAAAATAACAACAACTGTTGCTAGATAGCTTCCACCCAATAACAATGTGGGAAAAGTTGTCTTCTGATCTCCACAGGTGTATCATAGCACATCATGGATATACAGACATTTTTTTTTTTAATTTGTAGGAAAGAAAAGATAGCTCAATAGTTAAGCTAGGATTGAAGTCCCAATTTCAACTCCCAGTTAAAAACCAAGTGGTCCATGCCTTTAATCTCAGCACTTGGGAAGCAGAAGTAGGCAGATCTCTGAGACGGCAGGTGGAACTCTGAGTTTGAGGCCAGCCTGGTCTACAGAGTTACGTTCCAGGACAATCAGGGGATACATAGAGAAACCCTTTCTCAAAATAAATAAATAAATAAATAAATAAATAAATAAATAAATAAATAAATGCCAAGTCATCTTTAAAAGGCTGGAGATGCAGCCCAGTAGTGGAGTACATGTCTGGTACTGTGAGGCTCTGATCACATTCTCAGAACAGATGCAGAACAAAGGAACAACACAACAGTGCACTATTTGTTCATTCACCTGGCCAGACACTGGCTTTTCTTTCTGCCTTCCTTACAAACTGAAGGACTCCATATAACCAAGTTAAAGTAAAAACCAAAGGCATACCTTGACCTCACATGCACACAGCTGATTCTTACCTGGAATGTGACACATCCCACAGGAAGATACTTTCGGTCCTCCAGCATGCTCAGATACTCAGCGACAAGTGCTGCTGAGTGGACCAGGCACTGAGCAGCTTCAGCATGATTGCTTCGTTCCGAGTGTTTGCCAGCCATGTTCTGCAACCAGGTCAATCGCAGGTCTGGAGAGGTCTGATAGCCCTTGGCAATTCTAATCAGAACAGAAATGTGTCTCAGTCATTACCAGCTTCCCAGACTTGAGGGAGTTCAGAGAGCTGCTTAGAGTTTACCAGACAAGTTCCTGCTATTACATCAACCTGTTATAATAAGTGTTTAAGTGGCTGGAAAATGTCATGGTGTATGGATAAAGAAATCACTGTGGTATCTAAAATGGACATTATCATGTTGGGTTGAGGTAAACAGACATGTCATATTAAAAGTTGGCTTCTCAGAAAACTATCATATTTAAATTAGAAAATATAAAGTAAAATATATATTTTTACATAATTTATAAGGTAAACTAGAAAATATATAAGGTAGTTACACCACATCATCTTTATTTGAAGAGAATAAATGTTTAATTTGTGTGTCTTGTAATGGGCAAAACTGAAATAGAGAGCCATATAGAAAGGAAAATTCCAGTTTTGCCGCTGTGTCTATCAAGATACAATGGGAAGAACAAGTTTCTCAAAATCTGTACCTAGAAACACTACCTTTAAACATAACCATAATTTGAAACTATGAAAATTCATATTATGTTAAACATTCACATACTGTGTTGTCTGAAAAGATTGTTTTTTACATTTAAAATGTGGGCTTGGGGATTTTCTAAGAAGTTCAAGATTTAGGATACCAAATTTATTTATTTATTTATTTATTTTAGATTTATTTATTTATCTATTATGTATGCAACATTTTGCTTCCATGTATATCTACACACCAGAAGAGGGCACCAGATCTCATTACGGATGGTTGTGAGCCACCATGTGGTTGCTGGGAATTGAACTCAGGACCTCTGGAAGAGCAGTCAGTGCTCTTAACCTCTGAGCCATCTCTCCAGCCCCACCAAATTTATTTGTTAAGAATTCTTTCTTTTTGACAAGCAATAAATTATTGTATTCTTGAGGCTCTACCTTTGATCCCCTGCACTGCAAAAACAGAACATATAAGCAAAGTGAAGTTAGTTTTTAACTTTTACTTTATGTATATACGTGTTTTGCCTTGATGTATGGTCTACATAATACACACAATGTGCCTGGTGCTCACAGAGACCAGAGAGGGTGAAGGAGCCTTTGGAACTGTAGCTGTAGATGGTTCTGATCTACCACATGGATGCTGGAAAAGGAATCTGTGTCCTCTGGAAGAGCAACACATGCTCCCAACTCTTGAACCATCTCTCCAGTCCAAACTGAACAGTTTAAAAGCAGTGACAGAAAACATAAAAAAAAGTGGCCTCAGAAAAGAACAGTCTCCTGGCCTCTGCAGACACCAGGCACGCACATGGTGCACAAACATACACGAAGGCAAAATACCCACATACATAAATAAAAAGTAAAATTGCATTTTGACCTTTTAATGTATATTAGAAAGTCACGTCAATACTTTTTTTTTTTTTAAATATTCTGTCTCATTGAATGCTATCCATGTGACTTACTAATCCCATAAAGCAAAGAGTGAGTGAATGACACGGAGGCTACCTGTACATGAGATCAATCAGCATTTCAGGATCCTCCTGGTGTTCCTTCATTTTAACGGTGTCAGAAAGGATCATATGGAGATTGAAAACCAGATCTTGGACCTGTAGTAGCAAATTATACAAAAATTTTCTGTGTCACTCATTCCCAATAATTTTTAAATGAGTTTGGGAACTATTTCAGAGAAGTTTCTAGAACTTTGTAAAGAGTTAAAGCAAGTATATGGGGATGGCAAAGGGAGGGCATGAACTCTATGGATTCTTCAGTAGACTAGACTTTTCCATTGCATGCAGTGCTGTAAGTAGGGATCAGGTGCAGCAAAATGAGGACTGCAGGAGCACAAAGAAAACTGTCTCTCACTATACTACAAAGTAGCTTGATGAAACAAGTTTTATTAAGAGCAGATACTATTTGACTAATAGGCAGGAATGTTTCATCCCAAAGCACTGTCTACTCTGCCTAGGCCCACTGTTCTGTTACAAATGAACAGAATTAAATAGTAATCATACTATTATGAAAACTAGGGGCTGTAAGCCTGAAGACTTGAGTTTGTCCTCAGCACCCACAAGCCAGATGTGGTGACTGGCATTTCCATATAATTCCAGAACATAGAAAGGCAAAGAAAGGAAGATCCTTGGGCCTCACTAGTCAGTCATCCCAGGAAAACTAGTAAGCTCCAGGGTCAGTGAGCTAAGGTGGGAAAGGGATTGAGGAATGCCTCTGGCCTTGACATGTATGAACACACATGCACATACAGACATAGACAGAGACTATACACACACACACACACCACACATACACATACGCCAGTAAAATCCACTATTTAACAATCTGGAAAGTTCCTATTCAGTAATTTTATTGCAATTAATAATTTAGATAGTAGCATTTCTCACCTGATCAGGAAATGTAGTTTCCCTCAATTCTAGATCTTCTTCAGCATATGTCAAAATAGTTTTTAAAGAGCGTCTTAAGAATTCTTCATTAAAATTCTGAGATGTACCCACCAAAGAGGACAGTGACATTGTTACTTGCATTTTCACTCTGGCAAAGTTCTGTGAAAGGGAAATTTTCAATATTTCATATATTTGATGAAGAACAACAACAACAAAAAAACAATTCTAAGGAAAAGATTTTTTTTTTTTGGTTTTTCGAGACAGGGTTTCTCTGTGTAGCTTTGGAGCCTACCCTGGCACTCACTCTGGAGACCAGGCTGGCCTCGAACTCACAGAGATCCACCTGCCTCAGCCTCCTGAGTGCTAGGATTAAAGGCATTCACCACCAACACCCAGCGGAAAAGATGTTTTAAAGTAATGAAATAAACACATTGAAATCTGATTTTAAAAAGGACACGGCAGACTTCCAGGTAACTAAGCAGATTCTCCTTACAGTCTTTCTTACTTACTCTTTGCTCACCCAGTTGTTACCCATAGACGGTCTTTCATTCACTGTCCTTCCTACCCTCCAATTCCAATCCCCTGATCTTATTTATCCCCAGCTTTGGAGCAGACCACCTGCTGTGGCCTTTCCTTCCTGTCTGCCCCCTATTCCCAGGGCACTAAGCAGCTTCTCTCCTACAGCTTTCCTTTTCACCCCATCCCTTTGTGTCCACCACCAACACCACAGACACTCTCTCCCTAGAAACCCATTGGTGGTCAGGAAATGCTGCTCCAGGGAATCAAATCCTTGTAGACCTGCTTTCCTCCCTCCTATGGACCATCTCAGTGACCCACCATTCTAGCCCATCCCCATTGCTGTGTGTCAGCTCCCAACACCTAGAAACAAGTTCTACTTTGGAACCCCAGTGGTCACATGTGAGGTACTCAGATACACCTTCTACAGGCAACCCACAGGTGCCATTTGCTAAGATTCAGACGGCAACAGAAACCAAGGAACATAAAATCCACCCAACAAAGAAAAGATCAGACACCAACACCTAGAATGAAAATCATCACAAGCCCAGATGCTGAGATGCCAGTGTAAAAACACAATAACAGCCAGTACAATATGTCTCCACTTAGAGTCTAAGAACCTTACCACAGTAGGCCCCAAGTATTAAAACATAACTGAAGCACAAAACAAAGACATCAAAATAGTTGTTATGAATATAATCAAGGACTTTAAAAAGAATATGAATCCACTAATGAAATTCATGAAAACACAAACAGTGCAGTAAAATGAAGAAATTGAAAGCTCAAGTTATGAAAGTAGAAATGGAATCCATAAAGAAAACCTAAATTGAGGTAAAATTAGAAATGAAAAATTTAGGAACTCGAAGAGGAAACTCAGAGGCAAGCCTCACCAACAGAACACAAGATTATGCTCTACCACTAAATTATGTTCCAACCACCATATCGATAGTGTAAGTGGGACATAGAATATTTAACTCTAGCTTACTTCACTAGGTCCATACTATGATGAAAGCATAGCCTTAATGAACTGCAGACTCTTTTACAGTGGTATTTTTAAGAGTTTACATTTTATCTTCTTTTTTTTTTCATAGTATAAACTCATTGCTGCCCCATTATACCCTATTATGAAACCACTCTTAAAATTAGTTGTCAAATCCAAGTCTTTTTATGAGTTTCCTGCTTCCCACTTCTCCTTGGAGTCTCTGGCTTTACCTTCAGTGGCATTGCTTTCTACAGGTTTCCCAGTCAGCTTTGTGTTCTATAGAGCTAGGGACTGTTAGGGCCTCAGAACAGAAAGGCAAGTGCTCCAACACTGAACTCCATTCCTAGCTCATCTTATTCTTTTCCCACTTCTTTTCTGTCTTCTTTATGTGTCTGTTATCTATTTTAAATAAAAATTGTGATGCTTAGTGTTAATTTTTAACTGATAAACTGTAGAATCACAGAGGAGATGAGTCTTCTGGCATATCTGTGAGGGACTGTCTTGATTTTTTTTTTTTTAAAGATTTTATTTGTTTATTTGTATACAACATTCTGCTTCCATGTATATCTGCTCACCAGAAGAGGGCACCAGATCTCATAATGGATGGTTGTGAGCCACCATGTGGTTGCTGGGAATTGAACTCAGGACCTCTGGAAGAGCAGTCGGTGCTCTTAACCGCTGAGCCATCTCTCCAGCCCCGGGTCTGTCTTGATTAATCTTAGCTTTTAAGAATGTTTGCAAGGGAGTCTCTTGATTACATTGATGTGTGAAGACTCATTTTAACTGTAGGGTAGTCTGTTCCCTGGGCAGATGGCCCTGCACTACATAAACAAATCAGTGGTCTGCATTTATCCCTGTCTGTTTCGTGATTGTGGATGTGAAGCGACCAGCTGCTTCATGCCCTTGCTGCTTGTCTTCCCTGCCATGATAAATTCACCTTGAATTATGAGCGAAAACAAACCTGTTCTCCCTTCAGTTGCTTCTGTCAGGGTTTTTTCTTTTTCTTTCTTTTTTTTTTTTTTTTTTTTTTT